TGCTAACTGTAGTGACTAACTGGACCTTAGGCTATCTTATGCTAACTGTAGTGACTAACTGAACCTTGGGCTATCTTATGCTAACTGTAGTGACTAACTGGACCTCACCAACTCAAGACTCATTTCTCACTTATTTGTGGCTCTTTCTAGGTTGTTTCTTATTATTTTCTATACCACTTACTCTTCTCTCTGTATTTTGTAATGCATGCATATGTATACACATGTGTATCACTCTGAAGAGATTCATAGAGAGCTTTAAAAGTTGATGTAAACCAAACATGTATATATATCTAAACATGCATTTCTTAGAGGCTAAGATAATTGATTTCTATTATTATTGGAGTCATTAACAGTTGACCTTTGAAAATAGAGGATAGACTGAATAACTAGTGTTTTAATATAATATTTTTAATAACCTAATTAAATACTAAAGGATCAAAACAGAGAAGGTCAAAGAAATATCAAAAAGAATAGAAATGATGGTACTGATTACTTTTAAATAGTTTAATCTCCTGCTTAGTAAATTCTGTAGTAAATAGCAATGCAAAAATACTTTTTTAGCTGTGTTTCAGGAGTCACGGAGAGTAAGTCCTAGGGACTGTTTTTGTTGAAGTGTCATAAGTAAGCAAAAGAATGGTTTTTGTAAGAATTGTTGGCTTCTTCAGTTGACACCTCCTAACACGCATTCTAGATGCATCTTCGTGACAGAAACACAGCACAGATTGATCCGTCATAACTGTGTCAGAAAGCCCAGGAAAAACATGATTAGACATGAACTTTAAACTGTGTCCAGCCATTTTGCATAGGAGTAGGCAATATTTCAGTTGTACTCTCTTATATATTCAGTGGGGCACTGTTAACATGCAGAGTTTACTGTACAGTCCAGAGCAGAAATGGCAGTTTACATAGATCACGTTCTTCAGCGTGGTCTCGGAATCAGCTGAACTGTCATGGAGAGGTTTCCTCTATTAGAAATTCTACCACCGTGACATGCGGTCTTCAGATAGTGCTGAAATCTCAGTCACTCGTTTGTTCAAGAGTTCAGATGTTTGTAAGAGCTAGCAAATCACCACCTGTTGTAGCTGCACGCACGCTCTGACTCACTGTCCTGGTTTCTTTTTAACCTGCAGAGATGTGGCGAATCAGAAGTCCTAGATGAGAAAGAGTCCATTTCTTCAGCCTCTCTTACTGGATCTAGTTTGCCTGTTTTCCAGAATGTTTTGCTAAGATTTTTAGATACACAGGCTCCATCACTGTGTAAGTAAAGAAGGCTTTTTGCTTTTAGATGAGGAACTTACTCTCTCCCCTCCCCTCCCCTCCCTCCCTCCCTTCCCTCCCTCCCTCTCTTCCTTCCTCTCTGCCTTTATCAGGTAGGCCTGCTGTTCTTTGTATCTTATCTAAAGTTCTTTGCACAGAATATAATCTGTTTCACTAAGAAAATGTAATGTATTTTTTCTTTAGTCATTTTAAAATCAGTGAAGTGTCTCTGTCTCTGTCTATCTCTCTGTCTCTCTGTCTGTCTCTCTGTCTGTCTCTCTCTCCTCTCTCTCTCTCTCTCTCTCTCTCTCTCTCTCTCTCTCTCTCGTTTCTTACCTAAACAGAGGAATTCAGGTCCTGTGATACTTAGGTGTGCACTGTGAAGATAATATTTTGCTTTTGGAGCTGCTTTCTAATCTTCTGATTTTCTCTTACATTTAAGAAGGGAGGAGAATAAAACAACAGTACTTTATTATAACCTTGCAGCCTACAAGGAGCTGGCTGATGATGGTATGGGCATTGCTTCACCATTCTCGTTGGGACGTTTCCATCACCTTCAGCTAATGTCCTCCTACTCAGTTGTTGTGAAGTCGAGAGTTTGTGGAATTAACAACCACCTAGTAGGGGTACTAAGGGTGGAAAATTTTTGAAAAGGTATTGTGTGAGCAGGATTGGCTTGCTCACCATTATTCCGAGATTTGTGAATGAGAACACCACATAAAAGAGGATCTTTAGGAGGTTTAGAGGAATACGAGAGTGGCAGTGAGGAGTGATAGGTACAGGAGGGAAGGGAGACGTTTGTGAAAAAGAGGTCAAATGACTAAATACACTTTATTATGACTGTCTTGAGGTGGGGCCTTGTTTTGGCTGATCTTTGGGACAAGGCAAGGCTTTCCTTGAATTATCTGGAGACTTTATGGCCTTGGGCAGTGGTTCTCAATGCTGTGACCCTTTACTACAGTTCGTCATATGGTGACCCCCAACCATAAAATTATTTTGTTGTTACTTCATAACTGTAATTTTCTACTATTATAAATAATAATGTAAATATCATATATGGAGGATATCTGATATGTGACCCCCCAAAGGGGTCTTGAACCACAGGTTGAGAACCACTGGCCTTGGGGAAAGCAAGTATTGGGGCCGTCCAGATGGTTTGAATGTAGGAAACAGGAAGATGAGAGGGCAGATGATACCCTGATAGAAAGCCAGGCACAAGAGTTGACAGCTATAAATTATTGTGGGTCATATGAGAGGTGCACATTTGTTCCAAATTTGCTGCCTTCACCCATTTCAGTTGTCTTTGGGGAGAATTTCTTCTATTGTCTGCCTCTTCTGGGTCACATTTTCTGTCTGAGAGACCCGTTCAGTTTCCCTGAAAAGAGGCTGCTTGTCACTGAGTATGAGAGGAGACACTTAGTACAACATTTAGGGAACAGAGCACAGAGGCTTTTGAATGAGTTTTGTTGTTGTTGTTGTTTTTTTTTTGTTGTTGTTGTTGTTGTTTATGAAAATGATGGTGCCAGGAATTTGGCTTTGCAGATTTAGCCATACAGTTTTCTAAGCTTATCCAAAAGGTATGATATAAAGCTTTTTAGACTGTGGTTAAAAAAGGATTATTTTCACTGGAGGGCACAATCCATCATGGTGGGGAAGTCCAGGTGCTTGAGGTGGCTGGTCATCCTGCGCCCACACTCAGGAGCCAGAGGGCACAGCTTGATGGTGGTTACCTCACTTTCTTTCTATTCAGTTTAAGGTCTTAGCCAAATGCAATGGTGCTACTCACATTTAGGGGCTTCCCACTTCATCACAATCTGGAAACTCCCCCACAGACATGCACAGAGCATTTTTTCCACGATGATGCTAAAGCTTATCTAGTTTATAGTCAAGACCAGCCATAATAGGACGCCCTTCCCACCCCTGCCTCCTTAACATGTAAACTGTTATTAAGTCTTATTTGAAATAGTACGCATATCTACCCCAAAGGTGCATCCCTCTTAATGTATTTGAAGATAGTCACAAACTGTTTTAGCAATAAAAGAGTAAACAGTCCAGCCATCGTTGGCTTGCATTATGAAGTACACGGTCATTTATTTTTCAGGAATCAGTATCATTAAACTTGAAATTGTGCTTAGCAAACAGGGTCCACATTTTTCAGTTATAACTGCACAATAAAAACCTGCCTATCAGGCCTAGAGAGAAGGCACTCACTGTTCTACAGAGGATCTAGGCTTAGTTTCCAACACTCTTTAAGGGAAGCTGGCGGCCATCTGCAACTCCAGCTCCAGGGCATTCTACACCCTCTTCTTACCTCTGAGGGCACTAGCACACAAATAAACTTGGGGCAAATGAACACACATTCCTACAGAAACTCACCTGCCTAACAGTGCTTTACAAATGTTTGTGCCTCAGTAAATGTTTGAAGAAAACTTTAAAATAAATAGAACTTACTAATTTTTTCTTTGACACTTTTATACATGTATATAATGAATTCTGGTTGCACTCATTGTCTTAGCAAGGATTTCTATTGTTGTAACAAAACAACATGACCAAAAAGTAAGTTGAAGAGGAAAGGATTTATTTGGCTTACATTTCCACATCACTGTTCATCATCAAAGGAAGTCAGGGCAGGAACTCAAGCAGGACAGGAAGCTGGAGGCAGGAACTGATGCTGAGGCCATGGAAGAGTGCTGCTTACTGGCTTGCTCTTTATGGCTTGCTCAGCCTGCTTTCTTCTAGAACCCAGGACCACCAGCCCAGGGATAGCCCCACCCACAATGGGCTGGACCCTCCCCCATTGACCACTAATGCCTTACAGCTGGATCTTTAAATTTTTTTATTTTTCTCTTATACATTACATCCCAACCTCAGTTTCCATTCCCTCCACTCATCCCACTTCCCCCCCTCCACTTCCTCTCTACCCAAGATCCACTCCTCCTCCTTTTTCCTTAGCAAAATAGCAGGCCTCCTGGGGATAGCAACAGAATATGTCATAACAAATTACAACAAGACCAGGCACATGCCCTCATTTTAAGGCTGGAGGAGCTAACCCAGTAGGAGGAAAAGCACCCCAAGTACAGGCAAAAGAGTCAGAGACACCCACTGCTCCCACTGTTAGGAGTCCCATGAGAACACAAAGCTACACAACTGTAGAGTATGTGCAGAGGACCTAGCTCAGACCCATGCAGGGTTTGTGATTGCTGCTCCAAGTCTCTGTGAGCCCCTATGAGCCCTGCTTAGTTGATTTTGTGGGCTGTGGTCTCATGGTATCTTCAACTCCTCAGCTCCTACAGTCCTTCCTCCCCCTCTACTATGGGTTCCCCTGGCTCTGCCTAGTATTTGGTTGTAGATCTCTGCATCTGGTCCCATCAGTTGCTGGATGATGCCTTTCTGATGACAGTTGGGCTAGGCTTTGATCTATGAGTATAGGAGGTTATCACTAGGAATAATGTCATTTTGTTTGTTTGTTTTGTTTTGTTTGGGGCCAGTCATGTTTGTTCCTATCCTGGGTCTCTGGGCTGTTCAGCCTCTGGTTTCTGGCCATCTAGGCAGTGCCAGGCATGGGCTCCCTCTTGTGACATTGGCCTCAGTTTGGACCAGTCATTGGTTGGCCACTCCCACAAGTTCTGCTCCACCATTACCCCAGCACATCTTGCAGGCAGGGTAGAGATTATAGGTCAAAGGTTTTGTGGCTGGTTTGATATCCCAATTCCATTGCTGGGAGCCTTGCCTGGTTATAGAAGATGGCCAGTTTGGGCTCCATTATTCCCTATTTGTTGTAGAATATTATTTTAAGGTGTGTTACTTTTGTTTATGTTGCATTTGCTTAACTTTGTGAAGCTGTGTTACTGTGCCTTTCTAAAACACCTGATGGTCTCATAAAGAAGTGAATGGCCAATAGCAAGGCAGGTGAAAGAATAGGCGGGGCTGGCAGGCAGACAGACAGAATATATAGAAGGAGAAATCTGGGAGAAAAAGAAGTAGTTAGAGAAGGAGGAGGACTCCATGGGCTAGCCACCCTGCTACACAAACAACAATGGAGTAAGAAAGAAAGGTATATAAAAACAGAGAGCAGGAAAAGCCCAGAGGCAAAAGATAGATGGGATAATTGAAGTTAAGGAAATCTGACTAGAAACAAGCCAAGCTAAGGCTGAGCATTCATAATTAAGAACAAGCCTCTGTGTGTGATATATTGGGAGCTGGGTGGCATGTCCCCTAAAAGAGCAAATACTAACACCACCACCACCATTACTAGGAGACTTCACTAGGGTCACTCTTACCGATTCCAGGGAATTTCCACTGTACTAGGTTTCTACATCCTCCCCCCCCCCCAGTTGTCTTTCCCAGTACTCCCTGCCTCTTCTCCCCATCTGATGCCTCTTGTTCCCAGCCCCCCCCCAGTCCACCCACAAAAATCTCTATTTCCCCTTCCCAAGGAGATCCATTGTCCCCCCCTGAACCCCCCTTGTTACTTAGCCTGTGTGGGTCTGTGGATTGTAGCATGGTTATACTTTACTTAACAGATGATATTCACTAATGAGTGAGTATGTTTGCCTTTCTGGGTCTGGGTTACCTACTCAGGATGATTTTTTTCTAATTCCACCCATTTGCCTGCCAATTTCATGATGTCCTTTTTTTCTTTTTAACAGCTAAGTAATTCTCCACTGTGCAAATGTACCCCATTTTCTTTATCCATCCTTAGGTTTAGGTTGTTTTCAGTTTCTTACAGCTGGATCTTATGGAGGCATTTCCTCAAGTGAGGCCCCTTCCTTTCTGATGACTGACCCTTGCTTGTGTTACGTTGACATAAAACCACCCAGCACACACATCCACTACCCTTCCTATCTCTACCATCCCTGCCATCTCTTGTACTTTTCTAAAGAAACACCAAATATGAAAGTATAAAAGATGGTGAAAATGTTCTGAAACCTTGAATTTTTTTTCTTCTTCCTTTTCTCTTCTTTTTCTTTTTTTGCCTGGTCAAAGACTTTGATTGAATTTGTTTCTCACCTAGCGGACCCAAACAGTGAATGCGAGAAGGTGGAATTTGTGAACTTGGTGCTGCTCTTCTGTGAGTTTATCCGCCATGACGTCTTCTCCCATGATGCATACATGTGCACCCTCATCTCCAGAGGAGATTTGTCAGTCACTGCCTCTGCTGGGCTGCGGTCGCCAGCAGGAGAGAATGCAGATGAACACTATTCTAAGGACCACGATATGAAGATGGAGGTATACCCCTGGGGGTGATGTCCATACCACATCCCAAAGTAAACTCCACTGGGGGAAGTCAATTTCAGATAGGCAGTTTGGTGATGGAGAGGCAATTGGATTTGAGTTACTTTCTCTCTATGAAGTTTATTTCCCCTCTAATCACAAAGGATATTTGGAATATATGTCTTCTAGAATTTTCTGTGTTGTATACTTAATGAAAAGATATGACTAACCACAATTTTTTTCTTTCATAAGATTAAAGTGATATGCTTTTAGTTTTAGATGTGTGTAGCCTGGAATTTTCTCGTAGTTTTGTTCCTCACAGGTTAACTTTTTTTTTTAATATCATGCTCCTTTGGCTGTCCTTCTAAGGAGCATCTCCACATACCACTCTTCTCCATATAAAGGGGGAACCCCTCGTTTGTAATAGCACAGACTTTCTTTGAAAAATTTAATCTCTTTCTAAAACAGGGTAGAATTGTTCTTTGCAGCAATTTATGCTGGGGGTGTGACTGTATGCCTCTCTGTCAGATTCTGACATTGTAGACATTGTCCCAGAGTTTAAAATTTCAAGATAAAATGATTTAGGTGACAATGAGAAACAGTGGAGAATGATGAGACTCTGATAGTACTCAAAATATAGCTTTGTTTCAGTTATTTATTGTGAATTTACCTGATACTCTTAGAATATCTTTAAAGTTGTGGCTATATTTGTTTGTTTTTTAAAGCATCTCATTTTATTCTTAGGTCTCTGAGTATCTCATTTTTTTTTTTCAATTGGAAATAGCCCACTGAAAGAAATTGTGGCCTGTTTGTTTTAGGTTATGAAGTTCTATGCTCTTCCTTTAAAACACCATGGGAGTTAAAGCTTTTGTCTTCCCAAGGGGAAAGAATGGGGACTCTTAAATGCAAGGCATATCTTCAAGTTTCCTTTAACTTCTTTTAGAGCAATAGACAGTGAGAGTGATAGATAGGATGTTGAAAAATTTACTGTCATGTTTCATCTTCCATTTCTTAAACTGCAACATTTACAACGTGGCTTTCTTTTTCTGGCAATTACCAGGAACACAGTCTCATGGCGCACATGGGCCTTGGCTCAGGAACCACTAACATTTTTGATGACGTAGACAAGAGTGACTTTAAAAGTGACTTTGGTTCTGAGTTTCCAGTAGGTTCAACCTTTGATTCTCATTGACGGTTCACCCACCAATCCCCACTGCCTGCTGCTTGTCTCCATCTTTTTATTTCTTGCTTCGTGAGTCTTGGAATGACTCATGCTTGTCATGTAAATGTCACCCACCCTCAGTCACAGTGTTTCCCTGCAGTTGTTTCTGCTCTAGCCTTCCTCGCTGCAGGGTGCATTGCCTCCTTTGTGAAATACACAAAACTGACAGACTGGCTCGGACACTTTTGTTTGGGACACTTTTGTTTGGGGATCGTTCTCTCAGAGGCCTATGGGGCTGTGGTTTCATTATGAGAATCTATGCACCGAGGTTCTAAAGAATAGCATTATGGGTTAATTCATTTTTTCTACTGTCTCTCAGTATAATGTGTTTTTCATGAATCTTGCTAACTATTTTATAAACTCGTTGTTTGGTTGTACATTTTAAAACATTTGTCCATGGATTAATCTTATTAAGTATTATTAAGCACGTGTTTTTGGAGGAAATGTAACCCTTTGGGGATAACATTTTTAAGTTTGCTTACGTGGCCAGTCCTCTTATTGGTTAGACCACCCCCCACCCTCCCTCCCCACCCATGTGTGTTTTTCATTTACCCATTTTCTTAAGGTGGGGGGCAGTGATACTGACAGATTTTTTTTGTGTGTGTGATTTACTTTTGTGAAAATTAATAAAGTTTCTATGAGCATCTTGTGTTTGAAGTTCTGGTATGTGGTACAGTGCTTGGTTTTGTTCTCTTCATTAATGATGTCTAATATTTGTTTTACATGACATAGATTTTTTCTCCCATGCCTGGAGAATCCTGTGAGAATGCCAACCCTTCCCTGAGCAGAAGAATGTCACTTAATGGTGAGAAATTGCTAAAGAGAGAAAAACCAAGGGAATTAATTTTTCCATCAAACTATGACCTCCTCCGTCATCTGCAGTATGCAACCCACTTTCCTATACCTCTGGTAAGTCACGCTTCCATCAGTGTGTACCATGATTTCTTTATATGGTCATTGGTGATTGGATATCAGATTATTCACCCGCTCATCTGCTTACACATGATGTCAGGTGAAAATTTGCATTGTTGCTCTGATGCCTATAATTTGGATCATATGGCCTGTGTACATATATAGCTTGGATGTTGTGGTGTGATTATTAGTGACTAACTAGATTTAATAGAATTCCCTGTATTAATATCCTTTTAATAGAATTCCCTGTATTATTAAAAGGATTTGAGTCATTGCAAATAATGACTAAATATGTTTCCTACTTTAATTTGAAAGTCGTTTGCTGATAATTTTTTTTTTAAACCTGTATTCTTTGACTGTTGGTAGTACTTTTGGCATTTTATGGATGAGTAAGAATTTTGGGGCCAGTGAAGCAATTGGGTGGTAAAAACCTGTGCCCTCTAAAGGCAAGCTTTTGACATTCCTGGGTCCCTTCCATTCTCAAAGTGAATATTGGAGAGAAGGACCATTATCACTGAGAGTTGGTTCTGACTTGATGACAGAGGTTGCGGATGGTATGGGCTTGGCTTTGGACCTGGTGGAGTTAAAGCTTGGATAGTACTTAAGGAGAGCTTCACAGGGGACTTAGTGTTGAAGTCTTAAATAATGAAGTGTTTATCGCAAAGAGAAACCAGAGGATTTTTGATGTTAGTAACGAACATTAGGCTAAAAGCTGAGACATTTTTAATTATTTGGTAAACTGTTTCCTGCATGGTATGTTTGGACACTTAGAAGTTTTGAACAGTAAGCTGAGGATTTTGTTAAAGCTAAATATAGTTGATGTGTTGGAACATCTTCCAAAATGACTCAAACTGACTAAGCCCATATTTTTGGTCTTATGTCAGTTAAAATGCTCTTTCCGTTTGTGTCCTTGTACTCTGTTAAAACTTTACAAAATTCTTTCTTGTTCATCTCAGAATATTACCAGTAATTTTCTATGGCTCTTTGTATCACCAATTTTCATTACGGCAGAGTAATCTGGCAGTTCATTTGTGGTACCAGTGAGATTGGCCTTACATATTACAGATGTTTCTGACACATTCATGGAGGAAGTATCATGCCTTGGGTTTGTTTTAAAATATTAAGTATAAACTTGGCAGTGGTGGCCCATGCCTTTAATCTCAGCACTTGAGAGGCAAAGGCAGGTGGATCTCTATGAGTTTAAGAGGCCAGCCTGGTCTACAGAGTGAGTTCCAGGACAGCCAGGACTGTTACATAGAGTGTCTCCAAAAAAAAAAAAAAAAAAAAAAAGGTGTAAAATGATACAGTGAAGTGCTGGAAGCGGTTGAGAGTCACACACGCTGCACTGGCCTGTATAAGCAGCATTTGCAGGTCTGTGTGCTCTGTGCTTCTGAGATCTGAGCAGGTACCAAAATCAGCTTCTTTGTTGTGTTCACACGACCTTGTCTACCTCCTTCGAGGAAAGTGCTGCTTGATGGTGTCCCTTGACAGTTGTAGGTTCTAATTTTAATTTTTATTGATTTTTACATGTGCTTATGCAGGCATGTATGGTGTATATTGTGGTGTTTGTCTCTGTGTGTGTTTGTATGCAAGTGTGTGCACCTGTGCACACATTCACAGGGGCCAGAGGTAAATGCATCCTACTCTACCATTTTCTGCTTGTCCCTTTGACACAGGTTTCTTACTGTAGCTAGAACAAGGCTGGTGGCCAGTGAGCTCTCCAGGGATCTTCCTGTCTCTGTTCCCTACAATGCTGGGGTACAGGAGTGAATAGCAATTCCTGGCTTTTTATAATGGGTTCTGGGATCTAAACTTAGCACCTCATGGTTGCACAGGAAGTGAGCGTCCTTACCCGCTAAACCACCTTTGGATCTAGTTTTTAGTTAGCTTTTGTTCTAGTTCCTTTCTGTTGCAGTGATAAACATCACCACCAAAAGCAACTTGGAGAAGGAAGGGTCTCTTTCATTTTACAGATTACAATCTTATCATGAAGGAGGAAGTTGGGGCAGGAATTCAAGCTAGGAACTGAAGAAGAGGCCATGGAGGAATCCTTGCTACTGACTTGTTTCTTTTGGTTTGCTCAGCCAGCTTTCATATACCATTTAGGACCACCTGCCCAGGGTGGCACTGCTCAGAGTAGGTTTGCCCTTTCCACATTAATCATTCATCAAGAAAATGCCTATAGACTCGCCTACAGCCAATCTGATGGAAACGTTTTCTCTCTTTCCTCTTCTAAAATGAATCCACTTTGTGTCAAGTTGACCAAAATACCCTACCAAGCACAGCTTTCCATTACTGACTTACTTAAGGCCCACTTTTTATAATGACCATAATTGAGAATAAATCAAAGGGAAAAGATAGGCTAATAAAATATTGACCTTATATTGATAATCTTTTTCTTTTCTGATTAGGAGAAATATGACTACCTGTTGTGCATGAGAAGAGAACATAAGAATATGTTTTGGTCTTTTGCTAACTTTGTTATCTTAGAAACTAGAGATCAAGGAGAGAGGATGAAGGGGTACTTGAATAAAGATTCAAAAATAGTTCTGCATATACTTTTTCATGGTTGTTTTGATCTGCTTTTTTACCAGGAAAAAAAAAATGTTGTTTAGGCAACTAATAAGTACAGGTTTTATTGTGTATGCATTCTACCTCAATGTAATCTGGCAAGAATTGACAGGGTGTGTTGGAGTTCCTGTCATTGACGTTTTCTAGAAGCTACTGTTAGAAGTTTCTTTTTAAAATGTAGAAAAATTGGTGCTTTTTAAATTATTTTCATCAGGCTAAGAATATATTTGTGTACTTATACACAGGACTTTGAAACTAATTCTTCAAGTAAAAAAATAACATTGCAATTTAACTTATATTCTTGGTGTCCAGGAGCACATTCATTTTGCCTCCCTCCCTCCCTCCCTCCCTCCTTCCTTTTTTCCTCCCTCCCTCTCTCCCTTCCTTCCCTCCTTCCCTCCCTCCCCCCCTCCCCTCCCTCCTTCCTTCCTCTCTAGATTTATTTATTTAATGTGCATATGTGTGAGTGCCTGCATGTATGTATGTGTACCATCAGCCTACCTGGTGCCAGAGGAGCAGAGAAGAGGGTTTGGGATCCCTTCTTCTGCATGTGGAGTTACAAGCAGTTGTGCTGGGGACTGAACCTGGGCCCTCTGCAAGAGTAGCAAGTACTTTTAACTACTTAAAAGCCCATTAGTAACTATTTTATATGGATTTTTGTAATGTTAAGAATATACACAGAAGAGCTGCTTTTAGTAGCACATGTCTATAATTCTAGAACTTGGGAGGTAGAGGAAGGAAGATCAGGAGTTTAAGATTATTTGCTGCTACATAGTGAGCTCAAGGCTGCAGTGAGCTGTAGGGGATTCTGTCTCAAAAGTAAATAAATAAGATGATGAAGGAGGAGGAGGAGAAAAAGAAGAGGGAGGGTACTAAACCAAAACACAAATGCAAACTTTGTACATGCTCATGAGTACTTTTCCGATTTTCTTAGTAAGTTTATTTAATGCCATGCCTCACCTGTGTATGTACTGGCAGTGGAGAGTGGAGAGGATCTAGTAAGAGCTGGAGTGACTTGTACTTTGTACTGCAGATTCTTTCTGATTGGCTGGGTCTCTATAGATTTGAGAGGTACTGTGGCCTAATATAGGCTGTGTTCCTAGCGTGGCCTAGTAGTATGAGTCCATGTCTCTACTTTAAGACTCTTTGGCTGGTCTTATTTTTCTAATACCTTTGATGTGGACTTTTACTTCCAAAACAGTTTCAATAGTTAATATAATTTAACAGCTCCCTTGTGTTGCTAAAAAACATACCCATTTATTTGCAATCCCCTTTTAAAATTAATTAGGGATAGGGTCCATTTTATAGGCCATGATGGCCTGCAAGTCACTTTGTAGCCCATGCTAGTCTCAAGCTCATAATGACCCTTTTGCCTCAGCCTCCAGGGTGCTGGAATTAACCACAGTGAGCCACAGTTCCTGTCGCTGTAAACTTTTCATAACTAAAATTTGTTATTGTGTAGCAAAAAATCAGATGTTAAAAGTAAGAGTACTAAATAGAGCATTTACTAACTTTCGAAGAGGTAGGATAAAAATGAAGATGATGCCGGGTATTTTGATATCTTTATTTTTTGAGGTTGCTGAAGACCTTTAAGGTCATGTAGCTGAAGGGCTTCTGGCAACTTAGATGCTGATTATTTGGCATATTTTCATCAAGAAGTCATTTGCAGCCATTGAAATGAGCCCCTGAGTCCTTGCCATGGCTCTTCTCACTTTGGTCACCCAGTTGACCTTGGTTCAACATGCTCTGTTAACTTTCCTGCACAAATATTTGGGCTAGAGAGTATCAGCAACTGAGTCCAGGGTTGGCTTGTATTGAGAAAAGGACTTCCCACAGGAACTAGTCCATGTTTGCTAGCTGTCAGCAGCTTTTATTACTGTTTATCTTCCTTTATCTTTGAAAACTATGAACAGCTTTGTGGTTCCGTTGGGAACTAGCATGCAGACCCCTGTATTTTACACATCATTTTCACATCTTGATTTTTCTTTCTGAGCCTTAGTCTTTTTAGGTGAGGCAAAAGTCTCAGTGACCTTCAGTCGAAATGCTTTTGAGAAATGATAGTACAGGATTGGATCAAAACACAAATTGGACACAGCCAGGAGCAGTGTGGCCTCTTTGGCTTTGAAGAGGGAGATCCTCGTTGAGCAATCAGATATGACCTCCGTCTGACTGAGGGTGTATGGGATCCTGACAGCGTGGTAAGGAACAAAGCATATGATGTAACTAGTTGTCACCAAGAGGATGTTGGTTAGAGCTGTTTTCACATTTGGATAGTTTGCATTGTCTCTATTTCTATAGAGTTGTCTAATTACAAGGAAGTTGGATATCAAAATGATGGCTGAGAAATTTAAAAATATTGCTACACATATGAAATTTGTTAACAAATGCCAATTTCTTCCAAATTCCTTTTTAAATTCCATGCAACC